TGAATAATGATTGAAATCAATTGAAACCACAAAATACACTACAAAATGAATTCGTTAGTAACTTGTGATACTTCCTAGCTCTTCTCTGGCCCTTGGTCACCTTTAGTAGTAGTTAGCATTCCAGATTCATTCTGAAAAGTGGAAAATTATAGAAGAGAATAAAATACTTCATTGTGTTTGTGTGTTGCAACAACACTTTATTTTTGGACACAAATTTGAATTTTATATAATTTATGTCAAAAATATTATTAATTTTCTTTAAATTTTATTTCTTGTTATTATTGAGTATAGTAGACACAGCAAAACATACACCAGTTCATAGTTTTTACATGTACAATTCAGTGACGTTGTTTGTATTCTTTGAATTGTGCAACCATTCTCACCCTATTTTTGAGTTGTTCCTCCCTCATTAATATAAACTCACTGCCCCTTCAGGTTCCTGGTAATCTTTCAAGTTGCTGTCGTCAATTTGATCCCATCTACATAGTTTTTAAAAGACCATAATGCTCAAGGCAGACCTCTTTTTCACTAGTTAAGCTAAGCTTTGGTTTTAAGAAGACTTCATAATTTTTTTATTGACAGTTTAAAAATGATCACCGGGTTTCATCCATCCTTCATGGCTTCAGAAAGGCACCACCTAGTTCTGGTCTCATGGCAAAGGAGACAGTTTTTCATGGAGGCAGTTATGCAAACATTCCATTTCTTCCTCCTACTCCTGACTGTCCTCCTTCCTGTGCTCCAGGTGAATAGAGATGAATTTTTGTGCCTTGAATGGTCACTGGCAAGCTTTTAAGACCCCACGCACTGTGCAACAAACAAGGAGGCAGTGTGGAAGCACTAAACACATTATTGGGCTAATGAACTTTTGTCTCATGAAACCATGACCCAAAACCAGGACCCATGACTTACTTGGTTTTGTATAAGCAACCTCTGCAGCTACTCTTTGTGTATGTGTGTGATCTTAAATATATCTGTCATACCTTTTATCAATTCAAGTTTTTGCAGGTTTACAACTTATTGACAGCAATTACAATAATTGGCTATGCAACCCTACCCTTAAACAACACGATTTATCTATCACCTTTAATCTCCCTTTCAAACTAGTTCTGTCAAGACCGATGAAATGAAACAGGAATAGATCTGAATTTTTATTGTTTGAGTGATTCGTCACACTAACAGGAACAGGAAAAGTTATGGGTCGAAGCCCAGAATGGGAGATTTGGAAGAAGTATAGTGAATGTTTTTTGTACAGTGAACATGAGATTGGATTATTGGTAGGGCTGTAGGGAGCCACACACATTCAAAGCAGTGTGGTTGGCTGCCATCATTGCATAGGGCATCCCTGTCTGTTTACTCATTGATTCAAAGCTCTGCTTTAAAGTTATATAAATTTGCTGTCACTATGAAACTGTTGAAGGAACTCCTAGTTGGCAATAAATTGTTCATCACAGTCACCTTCACTTGCTTTGTATACAGCTTTTAAATCATTAAAAAGGCTTTCTTGCACTAACCAAAACCAAAAACCCACTGCCATCAAATTGATTCCATCTCATAGTGGAACTCAAAACTCCCTGTCATCAAGTTGATTCCAACTCATAGCAACCCCCACTGGGTTTCTGAGGTGGTAAATCCGTACAGAAGTAGGTTGCCCCATGGTCCTTCCATGGTTTGAACCACCAACCTTCTTGTTAGCAGTCAAATGTCTTAGGCACCATGCCAACAGAGCTGCTTAGTGAGGCTATAGGACAGGGTAAATGGCTCTATAAGGTTTCCAGGGCTGTAATTCATTATGGAAGCAGGCTGACATATCTTTCTCCTATTGAACAGTGGATGGGTTTAGACTGTCAACATTTTGGCTGGCAGCCAAGTGCTTTAACCACTGCACCATCAAAACACCTTTTCCTTGCACTAAAGTAGGGCTAAATAAGAACACTTGCACTGTTCTGACTGACTGACAAATTCTTAAAGACACAGTGAGGAATAAATCTAGTTTAGTACTTGGGGACTGCTGTATTTGCTTTAAAATACTTAAAAAAAATATATATAGATAGGGATAGATAAACAAAATTGACAAAATGTTGATAATTGTTGAGGATGGTGATGGAAGTTCATTTTACCAAACTGTCTTGTGACTTTATTTTAGTAATAAAAAGTTTGAAAAGGAAAAACATTTGACTATAAAGTGTTAAATTCTAGCTTTAAAGAACCACTGAGCATATGGTGAAGATACCCATTATCTATTGCCATGGAGTTGATTCTGACTCATAGTGACCCTACAGGATGAGTAGAACTATCCCCATTGGGTTTTCAAGGCTGAAATCTTTGTGCAAGCCGACTACAACATCTTTCTCACATGGAGTGACTAGTGAGTTCATACCACTGACCTTTTGGTTAGCAACCAAGTGCTTAACCACTGTGTCACCAGGGCTCCTATATACAATTCAGTGACAGTGATTATGCTTATGATAAACCTTCACCACCAATTGTTTCTAAATGTTTTATCGCCCTTAGCAGAAGATCAGTGTTCCCTAAGCAGTGAGCCCTTCCACCTGCCCCCAGTAACCATGAATATATTCTGGTTTCTACACATTTGCCTGTTCTACATATTTCATAAAAGTGAGATTATTCAGTATTTGTCTTTTAGTGACTTATTTCACTTATGCCCACCAGATGTTTACTTTCACTCAAGAAGCTTGTAGGTGGGTGTGCCACATCCTTCCCTACTGTTCACACAGCTGGACTTCACTGTGCTGACCCTCAAACCACTTTGACCATCTACGTGTTATGTCAGAAAATAAGTGTAGTTAAGATTGTGTGTTAGCTTGGCTGGGCTGTGATTTTGAGTGCCTTGGAAGCTGGGTGTAGTTATTCCCCATGATGGGAATGGTTGAATCACCTCCATAGTGGAATCTGCTGTAAGCAATTAATCAGTTGAAGAGAAGTTGCCTTCAGGTTGTGGCCTGCTTCCAGTATGTATGGAAAGGATCCTGCATTTGGCTCATCATCATCTCTACTTCCTGAACTTGAACCAGTGGTCTGTTTTGTTGCCTGCTGATTTTGGGATTATTGCTTTCACAGCCTGTGTGCCAATAATCTGCCATTGTCTGCCAATCTTGAGGTCATCAGCTCTTGCAATAGTGTGAGTCAGGAGACACTTCCAGCTTGCTGCATTGGGGCTTAGAAGGCCAAGCTGAAGCCCAAGTCAGGGAATCTCTACCCAGACCATAGAGCAGGCACTTTGAGCCTGAACTTCTAGGCTAGAGCTGATACTTTGAACTCAGACTTCTAGCCTCCTAAACCAGGAGAGAATAAATTTCTATTTGTTGAAGCCATCTACTTGTGGTATTTCTGTTAGAGCAGCATTGGAGGACACAGACAGTAATCATGAACCCCACAAAGAAAATCAGTTCATACATACAGCATGTGTTTAGCAAATACTATGTTTTTTAAGCCCTTCTCTTTTATTTGCCGCTCCTGGATGCCATGTGCTGATTCCTAGCATGCATATGAGTAATGTGCTTTATCTCTAAAGAGACAACGCCTGAGATTGCAGTGCACATGTTGTAATAATTGCTTTTCTGTGCTCTATGTCATTGATGATATGTGATGTCAGACCTTGTCATTTGATAAAGCAATTTTGTCAATAATTCATTCTACCTTCCCTCTAAGCATATTTATCTTCAGTTTTGTGGCTCAGAAAAAAAAAAAAAAAAAAATTCACTGCCATCAAGTCGATTCCAGCTCATAATGAACTTTTCTTATAATCCTTTTAATGTCTATAGTATCT